CTCAGCAAAAGGATAAATGTTAGCACCCCTAGTAGAGAAATCTCTCGTGTAGCCAGGCCCACAGAGTCCTTGGTGACATCTTACTAGGTCCTTATTGTTGTCTCTTGAGAGAAGTACAATATCCCAGTTTCCTGCGATCCTCCGACTTCAGCCTCCGGAGTCTCTGGGATTACCGGCATGTGCTATTATGCTTGACCTTTCTCCCGCTCTTTGGATAACAAATATCCTAGTGATATCTCCTTGAAGTTTTGGTTTACATTTCTCTAATAATTAGTAAGGTTGAGAATTTTTTCATATGCTTATTGGCCATTTGTTGATCTTTGAAGAAATGTCTGTGTCTTTTGCTCATTTTAAAATTAGACTTTTGTTGTTATTGTTGAGTTTTAGGAATATGTACATTTTGGATATTAATCTCTTATAAGATATATGATGTGCTAATATTTTCTTCCATTCTTTAGGTTGCCTTTTCACTCTGCTCAAAGTGTCTTTTGATACACAAAATGTTGTAATTTTCACGAAGTTTAATTTGTCTGTTTTTTCTTCTGTTGTGGTGTCATACTCAGGAAATCATTGGCAGATCTAATGCAGTAAAGCTTTTGCCCTATGTTTTCTAGAAATTTTATGGTTTTAGTTCTTTAGTCCATTTTGAGATAATTTTTGTATGTGGCATTAGGGAAGAATACAACTTCATTCTTTTGCATACGAATGTCAGTTTTTCTCAGCACCATTTGTTGGAAAGATTGTCTTCCCCCTCCTATTGAAAGGTCTTGGCACACTTATTGAAACTTATTCAACCATATATGGGAGGATTTATTTCTGGACTCTACTCCAGAGTCTACATGTTTTTATCCCATGAACACTGTCTTTGTTACAGTATTTTTGTAGTAAGTTTTGAAATTAGGAAGAGTGAATCCTCCAGCTTTACTTTTCTTTTTCAGAACTGTTTTGGCTATTAGGGATCCCTTGAGTTTCTATATGAATTTTAGAATGAGTTTTTCTATTTCTACCAAAAAAAAAAGTATCACTGGAATTTAGATAGTGATTGCATTAAATCTGTAGATTGCTTTGGGTAATATTGACATCTTTTTTTAGTTGTAGTTGGACTCAATACCTTTATTTATTTACTTACTTATATGTGGAGCTGAGGATTGAACCCAGCACCTTGTGAGTGCTAGGTGAGCACTCTACTGCTTTGCCACAACTCAGCCCCTACACTGACATCTTAACAGTATTAAGTCTTCAATTCATGTACATGACATATACTTCCACTTAAGTCTTCAATTTCTTTCAGAAATATTTTGTATTTTCATTATACCTCCTTGGTTATTCTTTTTGGTACTATTTTAAAATTTTTTTTAAAGTTGTAGATAGACACAATATCTTTATTTATTTTTATATGGTGTTAAGGATCCAACCCAGTACCTCACAGGTGAGAGGCAAGTGGTCTACAACTGAGCCACCACCTCAGCCCTCTTTTTAGTACTA